ATATTTATTAATTCTAAAAAAAAATTCATAAAACATTGCTTTTATCACTTTTACAATCTTTTTACATTTTAAAAAAATTTTACAGTTCTTTTAAATGCAATTGCAAGATGCAACTGAGATTTCTTTTTAAGTCTCGGCGTAGTTTCTTGGTCCACTTTGAGGATATCAAAGAACCAGTAATGTAGCTTCACATCGGAATGTGAATAAATAAAATTAGCGAGATATATATCGGACGTTTCTGGTCGAGCGCCCGATATCGGCGAGTTTCTGTCGCGAGAGATTCGAGTTATTTACAATTTGTACAGTTTTGCGTACAGAAGAAAGTTGCCGACAGGACAATAAAATTGCTGCCTCGTTGATCGGCAACGAGGTCGATGCGATCATTGTGCAATTCATCATCTCATCGTAACAATTACTCGCACTAGTCAATTATATCACATGATGGAGAAATGTATTTTTGGTACGGAAATTCGTATTTACAATGCTTCTCCGTGCTTCTGTCACGCGTAATAAAAATAAAACTTCCCCAGTCAGCAAAATGTTAACAAATGTTGACAAATTGACATCCAATTTAATCAAACTTTTGATTTTGATAAAATATGCGCTGTGAATGTGCCAGTATTGATAACATTTGATTATCTGGGTTATGCGGGTGCGAGGAATATCGACGTGCGATTGCAAATAAATCCAATTAGTGAAATTAATCGGCGAAAAAGTAACTTAAGCTTACTTTTTATACAAAGTGTCGCAGGAACGTTAACTTAACTGCTAAAAAAAAGCCAGGGAAGGAAATGTCGGGAAGTGTTTATGGGAATGTAGAATTGTGCCAAATCAGAGACAAGAGAACCATTGCTTTCGATCTTTTTACTCTTTTTTCCTTTTTTTCCGTAGCAACTTTATTGTTCGGTGCATCTCTCGTGCCAGTCACTTTCCATAATGAAGGCATATTCGCTAGTGTGGTAGTATACGTGGACTTGTTTATTTTATGCTTCTTTGTCGCTTAATTGCTCGTTATCTCTATAACGTAGGTATCTTAACTCCTATCGCCTCCAATATAATTCATCTCGATTCTCTCGTCGCGAAAGGAACGCCGACGACGAGATGCGTATGTGCGTGTGATCTCTGTTTCAAATATGTAATACGCGCGCGCGCATGTGTATTTATAAGAGGATGCGAGTGTGTAAGAGAATTTTCATATCGAAGTAAATTGTCAAATCGTCTGACTAACTACAGCGAGTCTACGTATTTACAAATCCCATCGTTGAAAATTTATTCGTCTACTTTTAGTAGGAAACATTAGTCGCATGTTCTCGTTCTCTCCAGTTTTCTCTTTTTCGCTCACATCAGAAATCAAAGTCAGTACAATTTATTAAACTAAAATTTCTATTTTATACATACGCAAAAATCATTTCTTATGCATTAATTGACAAAAAAGGTGGAATAAAATTTTTACTTTTATCTTAGAGGTAAAAGAATGCTATTAACCAGCTATTGAATATTATTATTTGGATAATGATTTTTGTTTTAGTCATTTATATAGAGAAAAATTGAAATAATCTAAATTATACTGATTTCGATCCCTGTTATTCACACACACACGTCACACATATATCCAGTCTCCTCCTGATTTGTTGTCTTTTTCGCTCGCTCTTGATTGAATCAAAATTGCAAATCGCACCCAACTTCGACGAATCGTGTATCTTTCTCGACGACAAACTGCGAGCATAAGTTTTCGAATATTTAAAGAAAATTATTCGTGTTTATCATTTTCATTGCAAAAATTTGAAAAATCCATGGAAGATCCATTGCAATGATCGAATCAAAACAAAATCATATTCAATAGTCACTATTTACTTGTTCGTACATAATTTAATATTAATTTAATAATAATTTTCTAAATTTTCGAAATACTAAAAATTTGCAACAAAACGTTATTCTTTAAATTTTCCTATAATCAAAATTTTCTCCGCCTAAAAATACATTCAATTTAAATAAATTAAATATGTAACAATTTAAATAGATTAAATATATAACTAAAATATATATGCAAAATAAAAGTCAAATTCAATTATTAGATCGATCAGATTCAAGATGTGGAAAAGAAGAAAAGTGACAATTGTTAAAGTATGAATTAAAAAGTTTGTTCCAATTAATCACGCGCACATATGTGTGTTTACATGCATATGTGTCGCCAATTATCCGAATGCTCGCAGATCTTTGTGTCATTTTTGAATCAGTCTGGAAATTCGAACGGAATGTTCACGTTGGACGAAGTTTTTATAGACTTCTCGATCAAATATTCTCCGATGTCTTTAATAGCAATTCTTACGATATAAAACTAAACAGATTCATGTGCTTTCTGTTCTTCGCACGTTTCAGTTTAATTTGGATGTTTTAATGAGAGATTAAAGACGACGGAAACGATTCGATCTCGAAACTGTACTAACGCGTATTCTGCAATCGCGACGAATCTTCTGATGAACTGCAATTTATGTACATGATGAATACGGTGATAATCTATTTACAAATGACGAGATGAGAAAAGCGCGCTACGTTATATGTCTGAAAACGATGAATCCGGCGATAACATTACGTTGCTATAATAATTACAGAGGAGGATCTCGGACGAAAGAAGCGAATAGTCAACGTTGTTACGGAAAAAGTATGCTGAATTTTATAAATCACATATAATTGTACAAGAAGTATACTGAATTTCATATAAATCGCATATAACTTTGTACAAGATACAATTTTGTCATCGCACAACAAAATTCTATACATATATATTCAAGATGAATTTTCAAGATTTGATTAAATTGTATTAATTATCGTTTCTAGCGTTACACAGATTATTTTACGCGGAGATATCTCTGACATTGCGTCAAGAGGCTCGAAGTTTGCCAATATCGAGCTTTCGCAGTACGTTAACGGTTGGCATTGACGTCACCAACCGAAAATATGCAGTGTCAGATATATTATTTGCAATATAAACAGATATTCGAATGTAACGTTAATATGATGAAACTGTGCAATGACAATTGCATCTTCATCACTGACACTGCCATAATCATGCATGTTACATTATCGCTATGGGTTGACAGCGATACATAACGCAAATCTTGTACGTGTGTGTATGGTGTGTGTATGTATGTTTTTATGTATGGGGATACTTATATATTAACATAGAAATTCAAAGAGAATCGAAGAACGTGATTCAGTTCTTCATTTCGTTGAAATTCTTGAGTCAACACAGGCCTCGCAATTAAATAGAAGCATCTTCATGCTCTCGGTGCCGCGCGATGTTGTCGTGAATTAAACAAACGCATTATCTCTGTTCGCAAGATATCGTTATTTCCTGACGAAATATTACAACAAAGTAAACGACTAAATATTATAATATTTGTAAGTCTCTACTTCACATTTTCAATGTATCCGCGTTAAACTGTACTTTGTTTCGATATAAAAAATATCTATTCTTTTTATCTTTTGTTGCAGTTATACTTTCAAATTCATTTTACAAAAAAAATTTTTCAAGTACTTTTTTAGATAATATATATATATAATATATATATATAATTATTATATATACATATATGTATATATATATATAGAATTTATATCTAATTAAAAAAGAATATGTAAATAAAAAATTTTTCACGTAAAATGCGAATTTTTCAAATTGGAATAGGCGTGCAATAAAAAGAAATAAAGGAAACTTTTGTGAAATAAAAGAAAATTTAAATCGCAAGATAATTGATATTTTCACGCGTCGTGTCACAATTTAATTCACGATGATATCACACAAGCACCTAATTGCTATTTTCTATTTTCTCATTGACGAGGATACCAGTGTCGGATAAGCTTCTTCGATCTAGTCTTTAGTACATTCTCCCGTGAACCGCGCACACACGGCGCATCATTTCTAAGCACTTAATTAATGGCTAATAATTAACTTATGCGCGACGGCCTCGAAGCGGCAGTTTTCCGCGTTATTTTTTTTTTAAGTTTTTGTTTCTGATTGGTCGTCGTGAGCGAATCTGCGTTAAAAAAGAGAACACATGTGCTTTCCTTTTGCCGTCGATGAAAACCAAACGCGATTCGCTAACGTGTCTCACTAAATCGCTACTAACTATACTTTATTTTCACTTTGTCCTAAAGGTATTTCGTCGTCAAAACTACTACTGGCTATCTAAAATTCCTTAACCTAAAATCACACTCAGAACGTAATTATGTGTACCGTGCGTTTTTCCGCGTTTCTATGCAACTCCAATTATCCTCTAACCAAACGACACGAGATACGATAAAATACAAAAATGAAATGCTGAAAAGCGATATACTTTTGCTATGTTCGAGATATTTCGGATTTTATAGATTTTCTATAATACCGTGAAAATAATTTCTTATTTATTATTACAGATAATAAAAAAATATAATGAAAAATTATAGCTATAAATATTGCGTAGTTAGAAATATCCAAAAATTATTTTTCATTTATTCATTTATAATTGATTCATTGATGCAACAAGATTTTTCATTGAGTCCATTGAAAATATTTTTGTTTTTTTATCATTATCTAATTTCTTGTATCCGTTCTTTATTATTTTAAACATTTTGTGTTTCCATTTATTGAAAATATTCAATAATTATTAAATACATTGATATAACATAATTGATAACGTTAAACATTTTGTCATTTATTTCTTATGTTTTATTTTTATATTTTATTGTATCTCAACTTTAACTCGCACCCCTCTAGAAGATATCGTTTTTTAGGGTTGAAATTAGAGTGAAGACATTTAAACGATCCTCGAAAATTGTGTCTTAAAACGCGATTCAAATCAGATATTTAAATAAGCGGGAAAGTAGTTGCTTTAAATATAAAAATAAATGTTATTGCAATTAAATTTCCAATAGCGTTTTATTATCAGAATTAAATTATGCAAGTGTTTGTAAAAAAAATATTTAGAACATTATATATAAAATAAAATTTAAATAAAGCTTCAACTTTGATGTAAAATATTTGAACAAAAATCTAAGGAAGGTTTATATATTTTGATAAATATAAAAAACCAAGTCATTTCCATTCTATTACAGACAGCTGTCTTTTTTAGATAGATTTTAGATTAGGTTACTATCGCGCATCGTGATGCAAGAAGGCTCAATGATAGATTTAATCGCTTAATGAGAGATTGCGTCGACTCTCGAGATTCGCTTGAATTGCTTGAATTCACGTGTCCATTTACAATCGCACAATAGTGGTGCTTATTCGGAAATAACACCGGAGATACTTGTCTATGCAAAAACGACTTCCATCGCTCTCTTCCGTCTCGATCCTCCATGTAAATCCTTCACATCGGAGATTAAGAACAGGCGTAAAATCAGCGGGTTCAGACTTCTATGCTACAGTTCATTTTACGCGTTTTTCAAATTCTACGAAAACGATCAGCGTAAAATGCATTTTATGCGCGCCTTTTTCATGAGAAATCGAATGAAAGAAATCACGCCGGTTTTAATCCCCGATTTTCACTCTTTTTCTATCTATTTATCTCTCTACCCCCCCCCACTTTTTCCCTCCTTTTCGATCCGTCGCGCTCGCACGATACGTCGGCAGTGTGTTTATTGGAATAAATCGCGATCCTGTGATCACGCCAGGGAAATTCGCGTTTGCGAAATAAATGAGGGAAAATCGCAATCGTAGACGCGGACAAGAATCATTTTCTCGACGCGGAAATTCTCGAGATTCTCGAGATCGATCGGCGACAAAATCGTTAAGACATCAATACATGTTTTGCGCACGTTTCTTCCTCCCCGCTTTTGCGCGACAGGACCGCGAGAATCCTGCGGGACGTTCTCACAGGACGCCCTCCTCCTCCTATTTCCTAGCCTGAGATCTAAGGAGTCCCATCGTTCGAGAGTTCAATCTCGAAAAACGAGAAAGAACGAACGTGGGATCAGGACACTCGCGAAAGGACAGGTTGCGTCCTTTTTGTCCTGCCAAAGCAGCGAGTCGCCGTCAATCGCGAAAAATGATCAAAAGGCGCGATGTGCTCCGTCCTCGCTGTTATTAATTTTATAATCGATAATGACTCGAGAGTTATCGACAATTTTTTGTAAGAGTTTCTTCTTAAAATCTTTCAATCATCGAATTCGTATCATTCGCCGTCAATTTGAAATCGATTGAGTCGTCAATTCATCCTTTCGAAATTACTTCGAAAACAATTCGCGCTCCAAATTTGCCTTCCTGATCCTCCTGAACAGTTTGCAGAAACAATGAGAGCGTTGAAAAGCTTCCGTCGTATCCCGTCAACACGGTAATACGCATTTCCTTTACGAATTTGTGAATCTTGATTTTTCGCGCGTTTGCGACTCGCCGCCGCGATTTTTCTACTTTTCCCGTCCTTTTTCGATTACGTATTTTCGCTTGTCGCGCGCATCCGCCTAAATTTTCACCTATCTTCTCTTGTCTCTTTTCTTCGTCTTGTTCCTCCGCGGGAAAGACATTTTCAGTCAGGGACTCACAAGTCTTTATTCACAGCGAATGCTGGTCGCTCGTGGAATTAAATGCTTCGGTATGTTTACTAGTACTGATGCTAGGGAAGAAAAGTGCCGTCGCGTTCTCGTCACCCGTTACATACTACATTCGCCGCAATGTCTTTTTACAGTCTCTTTAATAGTTTTAAGTTATCGCTACTTTATCGAGGAAGATCGATAACACGACGACGCGTCAATCTTCTTTTTTTTCTTTTCTCCTTCCTCTTGATTCTTCTTCGTGGTCGATCCATCGCCGACTTATCGGGAGTTTCGCCGGTGTCTCGACTGAGTACCAACGCTCGCGATGATCGATTAGTTTTGAGGTTTTGCTCTTCCCTTCGGCGCAAGGAAATCGAGGATCTTGCGGAAAACGTTTTCCCGAGTTTCCGCCAGTCGGAGGGAGAAATTGATTGTGCGACATTCTCGGACGAATACCTCGCTCTTCGAAAACGCAAATCTTCGAATAATATTTCGTCAAAGATAATTCGATTCGAAGCGAGTTGCGCACAATCTGCCTATTCGGATATCCCCGCGACATCCTTGAACGATTAATTTCGCCAAGAATTAATTTTCTCGAGTGTCCTCGCGCAATATCTCGAGATAGATATCTCAATGTGGACGATTGAACTCTCATAGCTAACTTTTTGCTCCTTGAGGTATATATTCGAATAATATCCTTGCCAAGGATCGGTCGGTCTGGAGCAATGATCTTGTCTTGTTATTAACACACAGCGTTCTTGGAAGATATCGAGGACAAATCTTTTCACAGCAACATTCTCGGGGGATGTTCTGTCGATTCAAAGTTATTTTCTCACTTCTCGAGGCATCTTCAAGCAATATCCTGTCAAGGATTATTCGATTCGGAGCTATAATCTTGTCATAGTGACAGCGTTCTCGAGGGATATTCTTTCGAGGGCGATCCGATTTGTAGTGTGACATTCTCAGGAACATTTCTCATCGTCGGCGGATACTCTATCAGGACGAGAAGGATTTTTCAGTTTCCTTTCCGGCACTTTTCTCCCTCGCGCGCGCGTATTCGATTATAAATGCCAGCTGACCTTGCGCGACCTGTACACGTGCGTAAAATCTAAGAAAAGAAAAAAGGACTGGCCGTCTTTTCGACGCTCGCTTTACTAATCGCTATTACTTATCACCTCCCCTACGTCTTCTTATTCTCACGGTACCTATAATTCCGCCCCTCGGGAATCCTTTACCGCTCTCTCTTTCTCTCGGAATTAATTGGCTACTTCATGTTTTAAATTGGCTAGTGTATGCACACGCGTGTGTGTATGTGTGTGTATGTTTTGTGTATGTGTATTCTGTGTGTTTTTCCCTTGGTCGCATATATGCAACGCGTATATGTATAATATATTGCTATATATACACACACAGAGTGCTCGGTGAAGCACGTTAAAGAACGACGAGATGATGTTCTTGCAGAATTTCAAGTCAATCCTTTCTTAGAGAATACTCGATAAATATTTAATTGTCCTTTCTTAATCATTTATTAGTCTTAGAAGTTTCTTTGAATCTCATAAGCACTTTAGAGCTTCTGCGAAGATCAGTAATAATTACGTTACATATTAAATAAAAATTTAGCAATTTATTGAAACAGTCCTATTTTTAAAGTAAATTAAAAATTCAAATTTAATATCAGAATTTTATTACTGACTATTTGAATTTAATATATTAAGTTACTTTTGGATTAAACTGTTGTTACAAAAAAAGTAAAAAATTTTATTCAGAAATGCATCTTTAAAGGAAAGCAGAAAAAAATATTCAATTTTGTCAAATCTTTAAAGAAAAGTCGACAGGAACTTCCACCTTTCATATGAGGAATATGGCTCTAAAAAAAGAATTGAGCAAAGCAAGTTTCTTTCAAGCTCCTCGCGAAATACATTCTTGCGGCAAAGTCAAAGTTTATTTATTCATTCATTTAATACTTGCAAAATACTTGTAAAGTCTCTGCGGAGAAATTCCATATCCATAAAAATATTGAATTTCTCGAATCGAACATCACCGTCATTCCTTCACGCATCCCTTGCGCTATCCCGTGCATGTATATGTATCAGCTAGTCGAAAATTGAGGCTACAATGTGCGGCAGTCTATTGTCTCTCTTGGCTCTTCTTTCGCAGCTTCCAGCCCCTCCCCCGTCACTCTTCATTTTTCTGCTTCTTCCCTCCTCTTTTCTCTTCTCGTTATCGGCGACTTACTATCTTCCGGTCGGCGAAGATTCTCTTTTCTTCTTGGAGCGCGACGCGGAGTCGTTACCCTCGAGTCCGATGGCCTATCTCGGGGACGGGAACGGGGAAGATTTTTTATTCCCACTGGTGTGGAGAGGGTGGCAATTCCGAGGGGTGAGCCACCGTGGAGCTGCAAAGTCGTACGAACAAGTCATTAGAAGAGCGACAAAGGGCAAGAGAGGGAGGGAGGGGCAGAGGAGGCTAGGCTTGGGGAGCGTGCGACCCTCCTTTAGTAACGCGAATCGACCACCCTGTGTGTAAACGGCCAACGGTATTTCAATCGAAATCATCTCGATAAAATCGCCGTTCCATTTATTGTAAATTTAATAACGTTTTTACTTTCCAAGAACTTGCTTGAGTAAGAATAAACCCGATTACCGTGGCAGAGTTAGGGCAATCGATTGCGGAGCGTGAAGGCAGGACGAGTACAAACTACGTGCGAATCGTCGAGCTAATTCTTTGCAGCGGGAAATCAAAAATTTCGTTCGATCCGAAGAAAGCTTAATTTCGAAATTGGCAAAGTTTGTAAAACGTAAAATTCTCAACATTTTTATATCGTTTGACGAGTATCCTTGAATCGCTAATTGGATCGCAATTGAATGTATATTTATTCAGTTTGATTAATTATATGAAGAACGCTATATTGAAATTAATTCCAGATAATTTTGCGTTTGATTTCGAATGAAGTATGTACGGAAAAGCTTGCTCGACCATTCGCGTTCTCTAATGATCGAAGGCGCAAAGTACGAAATGCCACGAAAATAATCTACAACTACCATTTCGTACTTTGACGATCGACTAAATTGTTAGAACAGAAATCGTCAACGAGCAGTAATGGCGCGATGTTTGCTCTTTTTTTCTTTTTGTATAAAACTATTTGACAACGTCACTATTTTTATCTATTCCTTATCACAATCATAGTAAATCTAAAGAACCGATATATGCATAATGCCAAACATATATACAAACAACAAAATAGCCACGTTTTTTCTAAGTTTGTGCATCCTTCCATGCCTAAAAATGTAACAATCGCTACACACCAAATTGAAGTTTTGCTTCGCCCATCTTCGACAATAGATTTTCTATCTCGACGTTAACCTAATCGTCAAGTAACAGTCGACAGCGATAATTATCAATTATCGTTATCGGACTGCGGTACGCGTTACTCGCTCGTGACGATCGATCCGAAGAGTTGACGGATCTTTTAGCAAAATAACCAAAACGTTTGTCTGATTTCCATGCAGCTGTCAGCATGCGTGACAGCCGATTATTTCCCTCGTAAATCTCTCTCTCTCTCTTTCTTTCCTTAGAAACATTTTTATTTGCAATATAAATCTGCCACATTTTTTTTCTATCGTTTATCTCCCTTGGGCTATTGTTTTGTAAAACATGGGTTAATATCGACCTAATATTGGACGGATATTATCTATAAGAGATGTTTCGTAGGAAAGTGGATCGGACTGCAAATTATAACGTGGATTCGGGAAAAGGGTGAAGGTCGCGGAAAAATCTTTTTCTCGAGCTATGCAGATTTTCGCGAAAGAGAGTTTGCATCTTTTCTTCGTCTTCTTTTGGCGCGTCTTTCTCATCGTTTCTCTCAACTGAAGGCTGCATGGTGGATCAGGCCTTCTTTTACACTCATAATGTCAACAATAAAACGATGTGCTCCATTCAGGCGTTTTCTACGTTTTCTTTTATACACAAGTAATGTGTTAGCAAAATAGAAATAACGGCGGTGAGTTGTGTCGCACGCGCGCAAAACGGGGGAGACCACTTGCAAATTATTGTATTTACATTATTAATATTCGAGTGCTGCGAACGCGTATAATCGAATAGATTGGAATAAATTAAATTTAAAAAATTCTGAATAGAAACTAATTGTGAATCAGAAATCGAGAGAAGGTGAAGTTTACTTTAAAAATTAATTTCTTTAAGAAAATATTAATATTCAAATTTTATTCGTTTTTAATTAATCCAAATTTAATTTTCATAGCTTTAATGCTATTTTCGTTGCTATAAAAAATGTTAGTGCAAATAATGTAGCAATAATGTAACATAACTCTTATAATTGTACTTCATGATAACAATGATCATAAATTAATATTATTTTTGTAAAAGATATATTAAATGACTCGAATCTCTCCTTTCTTTCATTCTGATATAAAACTATATCTGTCATCATCACATCGTGTGATTGTAACCGGCTGTAGCATGTGCAAGAAACTACTATAATATTCTGCGGTGAAAGAGTTCAAAAAATGGCAACGAATCGGCGGATGTTCCTCGAAGATCGTAATTGTCCTCTTTTTAATTAGAGTCCTTTGGACTTGCTTTAAAGTAGCCGCGAAAGTGGGCCAGCAGCGATGCGATTTCTCGCTTCAGCAACGCTCTCGTTTAGCCAAAAGAGAGAAAGAGAGAGAAGGGGGAAGCTGAAAGAGGAGACGGAAGTACTCGTCGGACAAAGGGACGGTATCCTGTCGGCAGCACCGGGTATATTATTGTCGTTGATATTCAAGGAGTCCGTTAATTGCGCGTTCGCGAAACTGCCGCTAATTAGCGCCGCTAAACGCGTCTAGGTCTGTCATCAATTAAACCCCGTTACCTAAGTCCGAGAGAACCGACCGAAATCCATGAAAGTTTTCCTACAAAATTTATTTTTGAAATTTATTTGAATAATTTTACATCTGCAATCATTCAAACACTGCGAAAAAATGCAAAGTATTGTTAGAATATTTGCAATAATATGAAATTACTAACAAAGCATTGATGTATTCACGAAACATTCCGAGACGAATGTTCAATTTATATTGAAATTAATTTTATCACAATATTAAACCGATATAATTTTATATAAATTTTCATGTTGAATTCTCATGTTCTCATGTCAAATTTTATTCGATCTTCGAGGAACTCAACCGCCGCATTCGATCAACTTAATAGTGCAATTCTCGAATTTCTCGTTAATTATATATTTAGTTGTACAAGCATCAACCCTGTTTGAGCGCGATTAACGCGTCTCGGCTCGAAATATACGCGACGCGACCGATCCGATTCGGAAATGCAAAACTACTAATAGGGTATTTTGGAATCACCAAGCATTCCTTCTAATTCCTAGATACGTACAAATAAATATTCATAATGCAATTTTACGCTTATCATCAACAAGTATTTTATTTGTACGTGTTCTGGAAGATTGGAAGGATCAGTGCGGCGTTTCTAAAGAGACACCGCGTATATGGATCGCGCAACAGCGTGCGACAGAACGCAAAAGGCACGGTATATGTACATCATGAGGTAAATAAAGGATGGTCAAAAAACCCAAGATAAAACAGTGTAACACAAAACAAAAGGCAATATACTTGGTATTATAAAAAATAAGCTGGATCATGTACCTCTGCGAGCGAGGTCGCGCCGACTATAGCTGACTCTCGGTTCGTTCGTTTCGTTCAGAAGGAGGCGTAACACGATTGGTAGTAGTAGTAGTAGTGGTAGTAGTAGTAGTAGACGATAGCGGTAGTAGTCGATAGTAGCTGACAGTGGTAGATAGCTGAGTCGGTAGTGGTAGTAGTAACGTGTACGTATACGCGGCGCAGGGCGCTGGTTCGGCGATCGGCTTGCTCTAACTTGACGGCAGAGTAAGCAAGACGAACAGTTGTTACACATCCAACATCAGTTGCAAGTAACACTACTCAACAACAAGATTTGTAGAAGTTGATAGCATGGATCAATGGAATTGATAAATTTTGCAAATGTTTCTGTTTTAAAAACTTATTTGTGCGCAGATCTCTCGGCACGAAATGATAAGAACGAAATTTATCTGATAATTTAATAGTCACGTTTCAAACTCCAATTTTTTAATTTTTTTTTTATTATTTGAGATATCGATAATTCAGATTTCAATTATTCGAGATGTTAATAATTACATATAAAATTGCATTTATTGTTTGTAACAAAATTGTTAATTACTTTTTTCAAATAATGTATTCCATTTATTTCATACTTAATCCTCATTATACATATTTACAAACGCTATCGATTGTACAACAGTCCGTAACAAAATTTCATAATTTTGAAATCAGAGAGGAAGTTTATAATGCCTCCTCATTTTTATACTTCTACAAAAAGGAAAATTAAATTTTGTTGAGTAGTGTAATCTGGGGAAAATATTACATAAGTTTGTCATTATTGGAGATGTTGCTTCGTCTCAATATCGCAAAGAGAAAACTAGAACGATATTCTAAGAGTGCTAAATAAATTTGAAAGTTATTTTAAACTTAAAAATTTGAAATATTCGAGTATTTAAAATTGAATTATATAGAGCGAAAGTTAAAAGTTTATAATATTTTTCATTTCGCGAAATTAACATTTCACCGAAATTAACTTTTTGATAATACATAAATTATTTTTATTTTTTCCTGCTTGAACCCTGTGATTTTCATTGTGTTTTTATCATGAATTATTTGCATGAATTACATTATCATAAATCTATAATATCAGTAAATGTCATAAAATATTGCCTGTCACTATATGAATACATATGTTTTATGAAGCAAATTGAATGCTCCAATTGATTGCCCTGGTAATATCATGATATTTTCATTACTCTTAATAATGTACGATTTTCATATTTGTCAGAAACGCGATGATAACTGTAAACATGTAAACATAAAATAATTTTATTACCCAATAATAAATCAATAAAATGTCTGTCCTGAAAATTGTTAATTACATACACACAGATCATGAAACAAAATTTTAATTTATCTTAGACAAGATAGATTTAACATTGTATAATATTCGGTCACAAATGGACGAAAATATAATGTCTAATGAATTTTAAAACAAAAAAATAGGTTTCAAATTTATCAAAAAATACGAAGATAAGAGAAAATTCGAAAAGTACAACAGTATTCTGTATACGTTTAACCAGATCACTTTAGAATATCGTTCTAATTCTCTATTCAGCGATATTGACAATAGCTTCTTATCTACTTGATCTCTGTTCGTTCCCTATATCGAGAGATCGCACACAGCGATTGTGTCACAGTGGGCCGACAGGGTTACGTGAAACTCAAACATATATTTATACATTTAACAACATCTACTCGTCTTCGGAACAATGTCAAAAGATACATCGCGTCTTTTGAAAATATCAGCAAGAGGATCGCCAGGACGAAAGGCCCCTCTTTTTTTTGTTCTCTTGACTCTAGGTTCGAATCCTGTCCGATCGATTTTGAAATCTACTTTCTCCGTTACGAAAGACTCAGCTGACTCTAGTCAAGGCTACTCTTCGAACACCCGATATATTCCGCTCGCTCTACTCGACTGCTTTGAATTGATAAGAAACACTGTGCGCCCCTCTATGAACTCTCTTGGGGATTATTGGCCTGTCTGTCTTTTGATCAGACATCTAGGATCACGATACGGGAGGTGCATTGATACGAAGGAGAATATTGATTAATTTTGAAGGGAAATGAAGGGAGGAGTGGTGCAATTTTTTTCGTCTCTTTTTTAAAATTCTGTTTGTATATCATCATTTGACTTTGATAATCTTCTATATGCGATTCGGGACCTTCGTGTTATATTGAATGTTCCAGAATCACAGCAGAATCTTTTTTGATTCAAGATTTATTTCACCAGTTAATATTTAAAAATTATATTCTGCTGAATTAATCTCTTCAAAATTATACGAGGAATAAAATTTTGTCATCAATTTGTAGTTTAACAGATTAGATTTCTCAAAAACATGCAGATTCTAGTGATCGAGCTAATTCAAGAATTTTTGTTTTAAAACTTGACGTTTGAACAAACTGCGTTTTTTTTAACCGAACTTCTGGTTATTTCTGCGGTAATTCCGGAACATTGTGCAAACCGAATGGTCAAGGGCGATTTGCGTGGATTCGTTTTGTAATGCGGCTTACCTTGCGAAGCTCTTGAATGCCGCGGATTGCGGATTTATGCAGAGCGGCACTCGTGACGTGTTCAGTTGCTCTGCTATAAATTTATGCATTTCCTCTGAAACAGGCAATGAGAAGTGCAAGCATATGAGAAAATGACGGAGAACACTGATGACGGCGCAATATGGGTTTCCATGGCCGAGCTAACGACACCATAAGCACAACGTTATGGTTCATATCGCGCGGTCAGTGCTAAATGCAATTAAATGGTTCTCATCTCGCGTCGGTCCAATAATTTTGCGCGTAGTTTAATATTTTATATTCTTTCAATTTTTTACTGTACAAAGAATATGTGATTATTATCTCGGTTATTATTAATTTAAAAAATTAAAGATTCAGAAATTTTTAGATTCGCTAAGCTTTCATACGTGATTTTTTCGAGTACATATTTAAACAGATAATTAAATTTAAATAAACTGTGCTTTAATCATATATAGCAATATAACTCATGTAAAAAATGAGTTATGAAATTACAAATTGCTGGCATTTTTTAACATCATACGCCAACTCGCTGTTTCTTAGTTTACTGTTAACGATTGCAGTATAAGAAGAGCCATACGAGAACTTCACGGCTCTCAGCGGCCAGACGCTGCTGAGATAAACTGTGATTTATCGCGGTACACACACAAACACACACACACACACACTCGAGCGCGTTTATCGCGGTTATTGTTCTCGGATAGCCACGTAGCCACGTGCCTAAAATACTTAATACATATTTCACTATCTTTAATACGCGAGACATCCTTGAGATATGTCGAAGTTCATTCTGCAATCTGCATTGTAAAAACGAGCCTTTGACTTTAATTATACTTTGCACAAAATTAATTAAAAGTATTTACAAAAATTATAAAATATTTCTCGTTCTATAATCTCACAAAAATTTTGTCGCAAGCAAATAAAAATTCATGAATATATTTCTTTTCTATCATCGAAAAATTGCTCTAAATAAAACATATGTACTCCAAGAGACACGGTATTCGTGGCGTTTTTTTTTTTCGTTTCATATCTTCGAGATACCGATAGGGACGGAATATTTCTTACCTTTCACTTGCTGCACACTCGTGAGCTTTCGCTCCCAGAGATCGTCGAATGGATGAGCAGCCGAAGGCTCGAAATCCACCCTGTACTGTCTCATGCCGGCGCTTGTCGTGTAACAGCATGTGCACATGCACGAGTGATATCTGAGTCGTCCCTCGTCTAGATAAGGATGCGCCAGGGCGTCCACCACAGTGATCCTCTTGTCCTGCGCGACAAGAATCGTGAATAGCGGACAAAATCGATGAATAGTAGAATAAAATCAAACAAGTTGCATTTCAGTAAACAAAAATGATGTATGAAATAAATATTTCAAAGTATATTGTAAAATTTTCGTCGATTAATTAAAGTAAACGTCGCACACAGTGACGAAATAAATTAGAAGAATTAGATAATTCAAAGAAATAATTCAATACTATCGCACGAGGGGCAGACTTACAGGATCGAAGACTAGCATCTGACAGAGCAAATGGACGGCCTCATGCGTCGCCTGGCTGCTGAGGTTGTACAAAGTCGCCAGCGACGGCGGCTTTTGCGCTCTTCTTAACATATGAGATTTTGCGCCTTCGCAGGCATACCTCATCTCCTCGAGGGTGGGCGAACCCAGTAGTTCCGTGATTAATTCGAGCTGCAATCGAGACAATAAATTATATTTTTTTGTTGCTTTATTTTCGGGCATTTTCTACGCATCCCGGCATTTTCGGGTACTCGTGTACCCGGCTGAGATATCGTTATCTTATCAAAATTATATATAGAATTTAATCGAAATCTCACGTAAATCTCATTCTGGGGAAAAACGCGATTCGAATCTTCGGGGTCCGAGAGAGACTCACCTGTTGCACGGGACTCTGGGCCTGGAAGAGTATCCGCCGGCGTAGGAGCTCGCCAAAGATGCAGCCGACGCTCCACACGTCCACCGCGGCAGTGTAGTGCCGCGCGCCCATCAGGATTTCCGGCGCGCGGTAATACTGTGTCACTACTTCCTGGGTCATGTGCACGTTCTGGTCGGGTTCCGCTACCCGAGCCAATCCAAAATCACAGATCTGGGAAGAGAGAATAGCAGGTGCGTTTGATGTGACACATCAATTCAGATAGAGAGAAGCGAGTCTATCAAGAAATTTTCGATACCCACATTTTCTTATTGAATTAAGTAGGAAATGTTCGAAGCGACTAAAGATTTACACTTGGAAATGTCTAGATTAACACTTACTTTTAGTACGCAATTGCTGTTCACTAGGAGGTTCCCCGGCTTGATATCCCTGTGAAGAATTCTGGCCGAATGAAGGTACTTGAGGCCTGAAAGCAAAAATACATTATAAATTAGAAACTCACTTAGAATTGCTGCAAAAATTGCAAAGATATAAAATATATTTTTTTTATTAAGAAGAATTGTTTAAAGGCTCACAATAATTAATAAAATAGTGATAAGAGAAGGGGATCAAGAGCCGACGCTGGATGTAGGTACTTTTTAAATCTTTATTTAAAAGAGTTGAGTAAACGTTTCTGTCGTCAATCCGACCATCTTCGGTATAAAATCTGGAATTCGAAGAACTGCGAGAGTCTTATAAAACAAAACGTTGAAAGTCCTCTAATGTAACTGTCATTTCATACAAGACAAAAATATGTGTAAAGACATGTGCAATCTTTGACTAGTAGTCTGTTTAAAAGTCTGTTTATTGTGAGCTACTGTGATCTCACAAATATGTGCGATCTCACAGTGATCTCACAGTGGTTCACAATCTTTTAAACAGACTACTAGTCAAAGATTACACATGTCTTCACACATATTTCTGTCTCGTATGAAATGACATTTACATTAGAGGACGACTTCCAACGTTTCGATTTATAAAACTCTCACAATTCTTCGAATTCCAGATTTTGTACCGAAGATGGTCGGATTGACGACAGAAACATTTACTCAACTCTTTTAAATAAAGAAGATTTAAGAAGCACTTACAACCAGCGTCGGCTCTTGATCCCTTTCTCTTATTTCACTATTTTATTTTTTTATTATTTCGAATAAACCAAAAACTCCTTAAAAAGGAATTAAAGAATCTATTCATGTTCAGATAACGATAAATAATTGAAAATTCCGAAAAACTATGGAATTCAATTGATGATTTGATGGAAACAACAACAGCATTGTAAAACGTCAGTGGGGATTAATTGTGAAAGCATAGAGTTTTATCGATCATGAAAATTGACGCGATCGCCGCCATCTCACTTGTACGAGACCGCGAAAATGATATTGATGGGAGAATTTTTCTCGTCGGCGTGACAAGCTGACAAAACATCAGAGATGCCGCCGTTTGACATGTCACGTCGATCGCGAACACGATTTTCACGCCGATGAAAATTCGTGCTGAACAAAATTCGGTTCTCTCCCTTAATGAAATTTCAGCCACTTTTGGACTTATGTCAGGCTTAACAACGAATCGGTTATTTTGTCGAAAATATACATTGATGAAATTTGAAGCACGTGGTTTCCGCGCTAATGCTACACTGATAATCGAATTTGTTCGCTTTTATAGTGCGTGAAATAATATTATGCGTAAAAGTTTCTATGGACTCGTACTCGTTTGCATTTTAATTCATTTACGGAAATATTGAATATGTTATACATATAATATTTAGTCATATAATAATAGTCATATAGCTTTTACAATTTTTGTTGTCCTTGTTGTTATATTTTACTTAAATCTTAAAAAAATACGCAGAGAGAGAGAGAGAGAGAGAGATTTTAAAAATTCAGAGAAAAATATAACTTTAGAATATTACAAACTGATCGTGATTAACTTCATAATATCATTAAAAAGTAAATTTTACGCAAACTTATTTTTCCCAAGTTAAATTAAAAAAATTCTTTTAAATGTTACAGAATTTGACGTAATTTAATGTATGACTACATTAATTTTCCGTAATCAATTAATCCATATGTTTATAATTCATATTTTGGAAGATAATTATGGAGATAGGGAGAGAAGAGGGTCTTTTGAAGCTCGAATTAATTATGGATAGCGCGCAGGAGTTTAATAGTCGATAGATTGCTAAGCTGGGATGGGGAAAGGTCAGTCGAATTTAACGATAAACTGTAACATTGCCCTGCTATCGGTCGACGAATGCTGTAAAATAGGGTGAAGTCGATTAAGGCGCTCCAAATCGATTGCATTCTTCGCTCGTCTTATAAATAAACGAGTGACGCACGTGACGCTTTAATTAATCATCATCGACAGTCAACATATAGAGTGCTCGACGGAGTAGGATTCTCCGATTAATTTCTCGGATTGATTAAACGGCGCGATATTTAACGATACAAAATCGACGTAATTTATAGGCGTTGCGCGAGAGCTTTCTCGCTTCTCTTTACCTCATTTCGAGGGGATGATTTCTCTCTCACGCGCGAGGATAGCGTACACGGAGAGTGAGAAATGATACGACAGAGTGGCGGTTGTGCGGCGACGTAGACAGGGCTGTAACGAGATTCCTTTTCGCGTCTTCCGATTCATCACTGTCAACGAATCGATTTTGCCGTTCATATGCGTTGATTGCAGAAAATGTAGCGAAAAGAAACGCGATAGGTAGCTATTATTGAGATGTAACACATTGATAATTTAGTTCATTGTCGTAGCTGCAACGTGTCAACGAAATCGAGATTCACCGCTGTTTAATTTTGGCAAACAGCGGACTGCAGTGTGCATCCTCAATTCTTGGTTCGAATCTATAAATAAGGTGCATCCTACGCTCGTCTGATCACACTTTTACACTTTCTGCGGTTAAGATGAGAAAACGATATTAAATTTGAAAGAAGATATCATCGGGGAATAAAGTCTTACGAATAAAATAGCGAATAATTACAAAATTGTTTATTGCAGAATCGCAGAGCGTAACAAAATACAGTTAAAGTAAAAATGAAGCAATTTACCGAAATTGAATTTGGCTTATTCGTATTCTCTCATCGCTTCAGGTATCGCGACAGCTCATATAATTTATTACGGACACGTCTGAAAAACATATAATCATCCCCGGAGTCGTCTCCGATCACGTCCCTGAATGTTAGTCACGCTGCAAGCGTGTCCGGATCTCGTGGCCCCGGCAATAAAACTCAGCAATATTACTGGGGGTAATCTGTCGTCCCGAGGGTGGTTGGTGAATCTAGGGTGTTACGAATCCATCCTGTCGTAATTAAAGTCTCTCACTCGGGGTTGCTATACGGTCGCTCTTATCGTGTCTGTTCGCACGCGATTAATTCGCATCCGGAGAGTTCTCCCGCCGGAATCTGCGCGCGTATTTGTTTAAGCAGTGGGAAAAATTCACTCGACTACTACTAAACTCCACTATGGCTTAATCGAACGTTAAATTAAAATTGCAGGTGTATTTGCGCTTTTTTCGACGAGAAAAAGATTTCGCGCGTGGAAGAAAAAATAATGCACGCGCAAATAGAAATAATGAAATACATGCGAACATTCGCGAGACAAATTTTAGGGAATTAAAAAGTCTTGCCAAATTGAATCTCGAGGATAAATAAGTAATAAAATTTCTTTTTTCGATTAATTTTACAAGAATTTTAACCGGTTAAAAAATCTTATACGAAAAATATAAAAATATTACAAAAGGGAAAGATAGATCTTTCTGAAATATCTAAAATTTGAATTTTCACCGATATCATATCGATCGTACGTTACACAATTTACTATACTATTGAAAAGATCCAGTGATAGCGCAAAGCCTCCTAAATAAAATTCGCGAATTCGATTATACCGAACGATTAATTAGCCGCGCGCTTACGGCTCGCTAATTAAAATCCATCATCGAACCACTTATGAATATGTCGATTATTTAGCGCTCTTTATCATCGAAATTAGCCGACTCGCATATTCATAATCAATGCGAATTTATGCGTGTGTCGATAACGCAGAGGCAAACAAGGATATCGCTTTCTGTCGATTAAAGACGCGATAAAAAAAAAACCAATTGATGCTGGTCAATTATATAGATAAGTCTTCCGACAAGAAGTTATTCTCGCGCAACTTTGTGTGTAATCGATCGCGCGCACTCTCCCTTTTTCTGGCTCAATTTAGATCAGATTCATTTAATCGAACTTCTCGTTAATTAAACAAAGAATTGGAAAAGTAAAAAGGATGATCAATGTCAGAAAAAATCAGTGAACTTTTGCCCTGAAAAAAACAAGGTCATTCGGTCAACACGAAGAAATTCTGACACGATTTATGTCGTGATATTTTTATCAAATAGTATCCATAAAAATGTTATTTTTTTGTTCTTGTTTCTGAGGAAACAGCATGTACATATAAAAAGAATAGAAAAAGCATATCTATAAAAGACGTATAAACTTATGTTAAGGATTCTTTTTGTCCAAAGCGTCGGAATTTTTTGCAACTATTCACAAATTACATCGTCTCTCTGTCCGGACATATACTGAATAGAGAGAGGTTGCCGACGATCGGCGAAGTCGATAGCCAAAGCAAGAACGGGTCCTCCGAGGACCGTCCTTGACTTTCGTACATCGACGAACGTCGGCCTCGCTTGGAGAAGAAATAAGAAATTCGTCGGCTGGTGGGAATGCCACACGATTTCAGGTACGATGAACCCGACAATGGTAGTTGAGCCGGAGTGATGTTATTCTGACTATTTCACCATTCTTTCAAGTATCTTAAAATATTCCCAAGCTTTTCCAAATATAATTATTTGTGATTATTTTATCAAATACAACGAAATACTCATATTTCATGCGTTAAATGCATGAAGATTCTTTGCTGATTTATATCTTTCATGCTGTTTAACAAATAAATAAAATATAATATGACATTCAAATGAATAATTCCAAGGAAACCGACTAGAATGTATAAATAAACTTTAATTTCTTGAATGTTTTTTGCGCGACATTCCGATTGCGAACACATTGAATGTTACATTGGCTGAATACGACCGGTGTTGTGAGGCGACTTGCAGTTAATTTAGAAATCTGTGTCTCGCGTCACGTCATCGGAATCGCATTGTTGTAAACAAGAAATCTTATACTATAGTATACTCAAACTTATTTTCGGCGGGGCCGATAACCGCGTTACACGCGTATAATTATCTGAAATTGCACGGCGCCGAGTTTCTCTATTTAGACTGGAATATATTTATTAAATATTTTCTCGAAATTTATGAAAGAGCGTATTTGCAAATTACACAATAATAATTAAACAGAAATACGCGTGCGATGCGTAACATTTACACAAATATTATCGAAAAAACATCGGGCTGTATTCCAATTTGCGTTCGTCGCGAGGAAT